ACCCCGTAACGCGGCTATAACCGCAGGAAGGGTGCCGACTAGGTTGCCCAGAGAAGCTGAGAACCTTCGCATAACGGCTGCTGGTAATCCTAGTCCTCCGGCTCCTGTCGACAGGCGCGCCTGGGCTTGTTGATAGGGCTTTAACTTGAAGCGGTCAGGCTGGCAGTCGTCTTGGAAGAACTCTTCTTCGACTTCGGTGTCTCTGAGCCCCATCGTTGCCTCTAGGACCCACATCACCATATTGTCCAGGCGTTTACAAGCCCCTTTCACTAGCTTATGATTGATGCCTCTCTCGATATATCCGGATCGCTGTGTCAGCGATTGTGATGTGACGAGGTGAGCCACCTGTTTGTCTGGCATGCGCACCAGCATGCGAGCAAGCTTGTCTGCACCCCCTTCAGTTATCACTTTCATTGCGATATCCTCGACGTAGGCATCCGTCCCAATGGGGACTCCCATAACTGTGATGCCCTCCTCCGCAATCGGTAGGCCTGCATCGCCATGTAGCCTCCTTTCTGCTGGCGTCACGTCGTGCCCTGGTGGGGGAAGCGCTGAGCTCTTCCTCCTGTTGACGATGATGCCCACTGCTTCTAGTTCGTCGACGAGGTCCGGTATCACCTGAATTTTTTCCGCTGTGATATTTCTGAAGTGCAGGCTGATGTCGTCCATATAAGCTTTCAAGCTTACCCCGAGGTGGTCGTACTTGGCTCTAAGCTTCAAGACGATCGGGACTAGGATGAAGCAGAACAGGGGCGGTCCCATTCCATCTCCTTGCTGCACACCGCTCTTGCACTCGATCGTCCGACGCTCTCCGGAGTCCATCGTGTATATCGCCTTTGCCGGGATTTCGTCGTAACACCTGGCGATGTACCCCACGAGATCTGGGACGCTCTTTGCGGCCTGGGCCATTATGGCGGTGCGCTTGCCCGTGTTGAAGGCATTTGAGCAATCCGTCTGGACTACCCAATGACCTGTCTGATGAACCAGTTGTGCGTCCATCGCAACTTGTTCAACTCCTCCAGCTACCGCCACTCCGAATTGGTCCGCTTCCCGAAATATTTCTTCCAGTTTCGGTTTCCACTCCCTGACCGTTCCCGCTGCAATCAGCCTTCTCCAAGCCATTCCAATGCACAATGGACGGCACTTTTCACCGAGGGCGATTAGACTGGATTGTTTCCAAAGAGTCCAGAACTCCGGTGGGAACGCGTTGGGATCGTTGATGAGCCTCCTCCAAAGGGACGACATCGCGTTGCTGAACTCTTCCCGACCAATTTTAGTGTTGACGATGGACTTAAGGTGGGAGAAACGTTGCCCGTCATTTCCTGCTCCAGAGTTAGAGCTTCTGCTGTTGATGACTTGAAGGAGTACTTGTGGATCGAACTCGGTTTCTGGCCTCCATCTCGGGGCGCTTCCTTCCTCCTCCTCGGTGCGGCTTGCAGCTATGGCTTCGGCGATGGCCTGCTCCACTTGTACGGGATCCTCATGCGGAAATTTGGCTTTCAGACGTGCCCATGTCTCGTCGTTCCCCGGTGACGGTTGATCGGCTAGGAGCGCTCTTGCTGCGTCCTTCACGCCTCCAGAGTGCCGGCACGCCCTCGCCGCCCTTTTGAACTTGTCGTCGGGTGTGTCTTCCCGTGCCGGTCCCCTGCTCCTTGCACTCGCCGCCTTGGTATACTCAATCAGCCAAGGAAGAACGGACGATACATCCCCTCTTTTGAGCGAGTTGTAGCGTTTTTTTCGAGCTATCCGGCCATCAAAGGAGTGCAGAATACCTGGCAGGAGGTACCAAATTTTGATGACCCGGATAATANGTTTGATGACCCGGATAGTGGAAAGTGGGGTCCCGGTCGCCGAGGAAGCTCCGCCGCCTTCTGCTAGCTGCTTGTTAACAAGGTGGAGCACGTGAGTTTGGAGACGGGCATGGTCGGAAGCAA